GGCATGGAATTCTGTACTGAAAATGGAAACAGAATAGGATTCCCTAAAACCTGAAACAGAATTAAGGAAAATCGATCCCTCTATACCTGGTATACTCAAGCAGTGAGACCAAGGTGGATGTTGCTTAACTTTGAGAAACTGGTTTTTCTACTTGATATAACTGTAAGCCAATTCACTGCTGGATCATTGGTAATGATGTCAATTCTAATACCACTTAATTTGGCTAATAAAATTGAGTTTTGATGGTTTTAACATTGTAATTCAAAATGGCCAAATGTTTTTGTTATAAAGTTTGTATAATGTTACTGGTTAGTAAGACTGTAAGGATGACACTAGAAGAAAAGGTTGACGGAAGAAGGGTTTAATCACTTGAAATAAGAATACAGTAGTTCAGTGTGACATGAGTACGACTGGAAAGCATTATACCTTTGTGACCCATTTTTTGCTACTGTTCTATGAGCAGACATTCTACTCAGAGCAGAGGGACAAGTTCATGTTTCAATAATAAATGTAAGGAATGTTAATCTTTCTACACAATAACCCCCCATTTTAAGATATGCATTCTCTTTGGAATTTCTATTTTCTTTTGGGGTTCAATTCCAATATTTTCTGAGGATTTCTTTTTATTTTAATAACATGGTGTGTTTGAGTATTTATAATTGGAGTTGGCAAGTATCGTACAGCATTTCCATCAGTAAATTTCTTTGTTGGGTTTTATTTCATATGAATATTTTGCCTTTAATTGCTTTAAATGCCTTTTTTGATTACTTTCTCTATGACCTAATCTTCCACATTGGAAACACTTTTTATTTTTGAATTGGCAATCCATCTTATAATGATGTCCTCCTCAAATATAACACAGGTTTGGTGCAGTCATCATTTTTTTTCTTCTTTTTTTTCTCTCTTTGGTCACACTATTTTTACTTGTACAATATCCCTTTCTTCCATTTTTGCAGTATCATTTCTTGAACTTAGAAGTCTTGTTAAAATGCGAGAACAAATTTTTAACCCTTGAAGTTAATTCTTGCACAAAAATCAAACATAATCATACCTGGAGATAACTCGTTGTAGTTTGAGCATAGATCGCCAGAGAGCAAACACAGGTGATCCCATTTTGAATAAGCAGATCACATGATCGCAAAGGAAATGTATATATGGGAATTAGTGTGGTGTCTAATGGATCATCATTTCTATTCTATCCTCTATTACTATATGGATTGACTTTCTCTTTTCTATGATATTCTCCATACTGATCATTATTTGGTGATTACTATTTGAGTGAGTATTATTGAGTATGTACTATTAGTGCGAGTGTTATCTGAAAGTGTCTGACACCAGTATTGTTCAATGGCGTTACTATAGATGTATCTGTGCTTATAAAGTCTCTAGTACAACGAGCATTACAAAAGTGACAATGAGTATTCATTAACATCACAAAAATGGCAACAAGTGTTTGTTGACATTACAAAATTCATTCAGTTTAAATTTTTCACATTGATTGACAATACTAGCATAAATAACAAAATCCATCTTCTTTTTTCTTTTTAAGATTTAAGCATTGCCAGCCTGCATAAAATAGAGAGCTTCTTTCACTGAAAATTTTAGACAAAATTAAGTTTTATCAAATATAATATTTCCTTTTTTTTTTTTTTTTTTTTTTTTTTTTTTTTTTTTTTTTTTCAGGTAAAATGTAATTACAATAATTTTTGTGCTGTGATGAACATAATTTCCTTAAAAGTAAACATGCCTTTTTTCTTTGTACCTTCTGTAATACAACAAAAACGCCTTCTTGCAGGTTATATAAAAATTTTCCAATAGAGTTTGTGATTACATCAGGTGTAAATTAACTAGTACTAGTTTCATTTAATTTCTGCAATATTGCTTCAAGCATCCTTGTCTGGTTTTCCAATATTTTGTATTTGTGAGAATATATGTTTAACTAATTTTATGGTCCTGTCTTGAATGAATCTGATCCTTGGAGTATTTAAATTTTTAAGGTTTGAAGTGCCCAAATATATCTTCAAGTTTCACATGATATCCAAAAGCACCTGAATGAACTTGCAATTTGGTAGCACTGTATTTGAATATGCACAGACAATGTCCATCACATGATCAACTAGAAGCACTGGAAATCTACAACTTTTAAAGAGTTGTAAATTTCCAAAACCATATCTCAGCCACTAATGATCAGGAGGCTAAATTTGGTATCTGAAAGAGAAATCAATTTATTTTCATATAAAATCAACTTGTAATACTTGATTTTCATCAGTGTTTGAGATATGTCAATTTAATATTCATATTTTTCAAAAATTCAGTCATGACTTCAGGGATTTAACAATTGAAATCTCTTAAGAAGTGACAGAATTAAAATTATCTCTAGACAATAATTCCAACAAGTAAATGATTTAGGAAAATTATTGGAAGGATAAAGGTACTGGGTATTTTCTGCACTTTAGAAAGGAGTTATTATCATTCCAAAAATTGTTTATAATATCCTATCCTTTTGTTTACACTATTTACATTGTTTGGACTGTTATCCTCATCTTTGTTGTCATATTCACAATGTTTTGTCTGTTGTATGTTCCAGCCTTCTTCAGGTGATTGGAATTTTGAATCAAACCCTTTATTTTATCCATTAGAGTAGATTGTTCTAGTTTCACATTCCATATCTCTTCCGGCTATCTCAGTTTCAGTTTCCCCCTAACTCAACTTTCCAAGTTTTTGTTCACATCTGCTGTGGCCAGGTATTGAACTCACAACTCTTTGGGTCAAATCACTAAATTACTTCAACCAACGCTTTCATCAACTGGGCCATGTGTCCTTGTTTTATTGAATTTTAGAAATGTTAAATTTACTCTTATTTTCTGATAATGTCATATTTACAAAAATTGCCACATTTATCTACACACAAAAAAATTATTTTTAAAATAGTTTTTTGATTATTTGTATTAAGTCTTTCCATTTCTAAATATAATTTTCACCTAAAAATAATATAATCTAAAAGGCTGAAATTAATACAGAATTTAAAAAAAGTTAAAACTTAATCAATTTTTCTAATTAAATAACATAATAGTTTTATTTCATTTTTTTTTTACGATTCAGAGCAGATTTTTGGTAAATGTTTCTGTTTAACAAAAAACAACTTGATGATTTAAATTCCTCAAGGAGTCTGGCTTTTAACCAATATGAAGAGGCTGACATTTCATAAAATTAAGTCGGGGTAACAGATGTAAAAAAAAAAAAAAAAATTTTTTACCAAGATTTTCTAAATAGAATTCAAAAATAATTTAATTCATTTGTGAATATGTCCTGAAAATATCATAAAAATCTGGCAATTATTTGATTTTTGCAAGAATTTCCCAAATTTCAAAAAAATCTCTGTATATGAAATTAAAAAAAACACATTTTGATATTTTAATATTAATTGTAATAATTTTATGAAAATCTTATTTATAAAAGCAATTAAAAATTTTATAATTAAATAATGTCATAGTTTTATTGCATTTTTTATTTTATGATTCAGAAATTTCATAAAATTAAATAAGTGACAGTAGTAACAGGTGTTAAAAAAAGAAAAAAATTTACAAAGATTTTCTAAAAAAAAAAAAAAATTTCATTCATTTGTGAATAAGTTCTGAAAATTTAATTAAAATCTGACAGTTATTTTCTTGCAAGAAAATCCCTAATCCCTGATACAAGAAAGCAAGATTTTTAACCAAAATTTCAAATGTCCTAGAAAGGATTAAAAAATTTAATAAAATAATGAAAAAAAAATGCTTTGGTCTTTCCCCTTAATAATAACAAACATTTTGATGATGTATCCTTGTTTTTATCAAGTTTGGGTCATTTTTTTATTATAGTATGTTCTTCTTTTACAAAATTTTTTGTAATGTAATTGTTTTATTTAAGGCTTCATCTGCTTGTCTGGCTGGGTCAATCAGTTATGTGCCATGTGTGATACATGCATACGCGATCATGTATCTTTCAATACATGACTGACAAGGCAGATTTTTTTCCTGCATTAGGTTGCCATTTCTTTCTGCAGTAGACCAGTTGTCATCCAAGGCTATAGAACCCAGTATATCCTACTATTTGCCCATAGCTGGAGGGAGAAGAAGAGGATTTATAAGTTTCCCCAGGGTTATCAGCATGTAAGTGAATCTAATGGATTTGACTGGAATTTGAACTCGGCTCTCCGATTCCTCAATCTGCGCCACTATCCATTACTCCACCATGCTTCCTTTGGGTGGGTAGGTAGTGATATCTGGGACGACTTCCTCCTACCAACTCCTTGCTCATCTATTCATCCAGGCTGATAATATAAAATGGAGGCTTCAGAATTGCAACATGGATTAGCAGCACACTCCCTGATCCCAAGTAGAACTGTTAATATAGTCCAGAACCCAGATATAACTGATTTCCACTATTGTTGTCACTTGATCTGCAAAAATTCCTCATCCACCCCTTTACTTATGCATTACCTTATGGTCAAAGTGGATACCACTTACAAGACCAAACTTCAAAATGAATTATCTGCTTGTTCATCAAACAGAAATACTTGATCGAGATAAAACCACCTCTTCCCCATTCTATGTGGGTGTCCATGGTATCGTGACCTGTCATTGTTTTATTTTCTCTTGGATGTTGGTCACTTTTCTATCATATTTACCAGACATTGTACCTTTAGATTAACATTTATGTCAGTCTCTACTGTATTATTTTAACAATTTCAACTCCATTGAAGATTGCAAAAAGTAGCAAGAACATTTCTTTAAGAAAGATAAAAAAATAAAACATTGTGAAGTTAGCTGAAAGATGTCAGAAACAGTGTAAGACAAAGGTAAGTTGTTGCATAAAGTTAATGTTGGAAAAAAAAAAATTCTCTTTTATTTTTACTTAATCACAAAAGGCTTAACACAATCCAGCAAATACTTTTTGTTATAGTATATTATTCAATTATCTAATTATTTCTAACTCAAAGATTATTTATTTATTTGCAGGTTGTTACAGCAGTGAAGGAAGAGGTGTCTCCTCAGTATGAACACTATTTATTACTTCTACAACAACGTAACAGGTATGAAAATTGGTCTTTATTAAAAACTTTAATTCTTTAGGAGATTAGCTAATATTGTGGAAGATTGATAGGGACAACAAAGAATAGGATATCAGTTCAAATAATTTTTGCATAATGACGCTATTAAAATGACAAAGAATAACAAAAATGACTTCAGGCACTAAAATAAATTTTCTTACTTGGCAGTAAGAAAATTTTGTAAATGCTTTAAGAAAATGTATTTAAACTAACATATCATATGTAAAATTTGATTGGATTATATATGCATGTATCAGCACTGGTCTTTGATCAGAATATCAAGCTCTAATGAGGATCAAAGTGTAAATCCCTGTTGCAGACACCAGCTCAGCCACATTTGTATTTCTTCAACACCCACAAAGCCAAGCTGTGATTTATATTGCAAATATACCTTGGCTACATTTTCTGGAAAAGAGTGCATAATCTGGCATGTCCAGTAGTTGAATAAGGCCTGTACACTCAGATTATATACACACATATATAATATATATATATATATAGTGTATATTTAGGCAGCAATTTTTTATTAATGCATGTTTCATTAAATAATATAGACAAGTTTTGTCTATTTATTTTAAGTAAGTTCCTTTCATGTTGTCTGATAAGCTTAATCACATTATTGTTGAAAGACGATAGGAAAACACCATATTGATAAATGTTTAAATCCAATCTAAGCCATTATCAAAGATGACAATTTCAATAAATCAAACAACAACGGACAAAACAACAATGATAGTTCGCCCCTTGCTGCATGAAAACTTACTGAAAATAAATAGACAAAACTTGGCTATATTTTTTAATGAAACATGCATTAATGAAAATATATATATATATATATATATAAATGGACAAAGTCCGACAATTATTTTAATATATTTTATTGTTATATGTTATTTATATAGAGACAAATATTTAAGTAAATGCTCTGTTTATAATAAACAGTATTAACATTTTACCGGCCTTTTTGTTTGAGAAATTTTCATAGAAAATATGTGTCCTCCAACAGTAATCAAACCTGTATCCTAAAGGGAATGGTCATATAGTCTGACATGCTATACCAGTTTAGCTACAGAGGACTGTCTGGTTAGCAAGGTTGATTTTACTGTTTTCAAACTACAATTTTCCATGATCTCCCTTGAACATTCATATCTGCTCAAGGTGTATCTAAACGTAAACAAATGACGTCACACTATGAAATAGACAAATCCGACAATTTAATATATTTTATTGTTATACGTTATTTATGTAGACACAAATATTTAAGTAAATGCTCTGTTTTTGATAAACAGTATTAACAACATTTACCAGCCTGAACATCTGAGAAATTTTCATAGAAAATATGTGTCCTCCAACAGGAATCGAACCTGTATCCTACACAGAACCATCATATAGCCTGGTATGTTATACCATAACATATAACATAAAAACTGTAGCTGTGATTTAGTTGGATCTTATCTCCAAGAGATTTCAAGTATAGCTCTCAGCATCCAAATGTAGGTTCCATCAAGCTTAGACTCTATGGTTTTACCTAATGTCCAAGCAGTGGCACCATACATTAATACTGCCTCTACAGTGGTATGAAAGTGTTGCAGTTTGAGGTTGTCTGCTAAATCAGATTTCCAGATTACGTCCATTTTATTCAAGGTGGACCAGACTTTAGCTATGTAAATTTTCACATCCTTTTCTGTAGAATTTATTTCCTTTCCTAGGTATATAAAAGATTTTATTGATTCTCCTGAGGCAGTTTGTATTCAGCCTTGCTTGTTGAAGCCTGTGAATTCAGTCTTAGAAGCATTGACATAGTCCAACATTGTTTGCAGCATTTCTAGATTACTTGAAGGTTATCATATTATTATAGTCATTTGTGTACAATAGTGCAGAGTCAAGAGCTGAAATCCCTAAAATATTGGGAACCCTTTTTCTAAATTGGACTCAAATTATAGCAGAAGGATTACTAAATTTGAGAATCCACAAACATTTCAAAGATCCAAATCATTAAATTGTAATAAGTTCATCTTTACTGTTTTATTTTTAATTAGGATGTTGCGTAAATTGAAAACCAAAAGTAGCCAGGAGATTGCATTAGAGAGAAAAGAGCAAGGATTCACCCTCTACATAAATGGAGCTAATGCTGCCTTTACTCAAGGAAGAGTTGCTCCCCAACCACCCTCAACCAACCAAATTTCTAATCACAAAGCTCATTCAAGAAGATACCTGGCAACTACACAATTAAGTAAGTTGATGTCTTTCTTTTTAGAAATTTATGATTCTCCTTTTTTATTGAGATCAAATATACAATTATCATAGCAACACTGATTACAAAGTACATTTCAAATGCTCTATTATCTGGTACAGTACTGTGGAACTGTATTGGTTACCGTATGGTTTAACTGCATCGATATTCTCTCATGGCTATTTAGTCCAAGAAAAAAATCCACTTAAGTTGCATCTCCAGAAATTGTAAATAAAAGAAGAAAGTTATGGTATTAGTGTTCTTCAATTTGGTCTCTTGAATAAAAGCAATACATTTGTTGTCTCTGAAGAACGTCTTGACCAAAGTTAAATCAAGATTTAATCACATAAAATATCTGTAAATTTTGTGTTTCACTTTTTTAGATAAGTCTTGGAATATCTGTTACTTACAGGACAGATTGAGAGCAAGAGGGACAGATGAAAACAATGTATAAAATATTTAATATATGGCAAAATTGGGTTTAGAAATAAAGAAAATTGTGGAGTCATGATCACCTCCATACTGATGGACACAGCACATGAAGAATGTCAATATAAAAATTTCATCATTTTGAACTGTTGCCCTCATCTTGGTGGTTATAGATGTTATTAATTAAAGTATATAGACTATTTTTCTAGGTGCTGTGTCACTTCAGGATATATCCGATCATGGCTCTCCACAACTTCCTATCACTTGTGGCCCTTAGCAGTTTTTCTCCTTTTACTAAGGTTTTTCCCACCCTGTTCTGCCATCTATTCACACAATCTTGTCAGGTAAGTGACTCTCTGCCTTCCTCTACCCCCCACCCCAGTGAGGATTAATATTGGCTCTTATGCATCTCAATTATCAGAAGTGGTATAGAAACCCACTATATTGATCAAATGTTGAAACAATCTGACATTGTATATAAAGGCCCCAAAAGCACAAACCAAGATGGTGGCATAGTGGATAGAGGAGTTGGTTAAACGTGTTTACTGTCATCTAGTGGGTGTGAGTTCACCCAAGAACAAACAATAACTGTCATCATGGGGACAAAATAACACAACAGTCAGCAGATATCCCATATCAGCCAAAAAGCAATGGATATCTGATGATGGCCAAAGGGTATCTATTTGAAATGCTTTGTCTATAATAACATTTATAACAAACCAAGATGAGAACAATAGTTCAAAATTAAAGTATAATGAAATATCTACGTTGTACAGTTCCAGTCATAAAATATACAAAAACATAACGAAAACAATAACATCTTCAAATTCAAATATTTTCCCAACAAACTTGGCAACCTGCTAAACATACAAAGAAATATTTTTTTTTTTTTCATTTCACTCTAATCAAGGTGATAATGACACTAAGATGTCAGGGGTTTACTGTCAATGGAAAAAATTGAGAAAATGTTTCGGAGAGAGAGGACATTAAAAGACCAGAAATCAAGGAGACTGAAGATAATGATTGACATTGTATTTAAATTTTTGAAGGTCATAGTTGATTGGAAAGCAAGAAAGTGAAAGAGAGTTCCACAAGTAAGAAGTGAGAGAAAAGAAATTGTTAGCATAGAACTTATGGTTACATCTAGCAATTTCAATAGTACTGCACTTAAATTTGTAAAATTAAAGTACCAAAGAGGAAAGTTCATCTCAACAATTACTATGAAAATATTTATAGAAAAGGCAAAGGTAAGCTATGTAGTGGTGGTTGGAAAGTGACTGAAGCTGAGTTTCTGTTCCAGAGGCATGATGCCTTCTCACATGATATCTGTACAACGCAAAACATCTGTGCCTTCTTGGCAACACTTTTTCAACTGACTTGAAGTGAAGCAACTACATTGAATCAATAGCTGTATCTACTGCAACAAAAATTGAGTCACAGTGTTGTGCCAGGAAATTTTTCTCATCTGAGTCCATCTTGCACATTTACAAATCTATCATTTATCTGGGCATTGAATATTGCTACTATATCGGGTATGGTGCTCCTAAAATTAATCTTGAGTTTCTTGACAAAATCCAAAGAAGGATCTGCATTGTAATTGTTCCTGACTTGGCATCTCACCTTCAGTCACTTTCTCACCAACATGATGTGGCTTCACTCTGTCTTTTCTACAAATATTTTCATGGCAACTGCTCTGATGAGTTTTTTTCCCTGGTGTTTTGAATACGTGAATTTAAGCGTGCTACTATTCTAGCATCTAGGTCCCACCCTTTTACTGTTGAAATAGCTAAATGCAACTGCCACTTCTCCTCCTCCTCCAGTTGCTTTTCTTGCACTTCCCACCTGTGGAACTCTCTTCTGTTTACTTTACTACAATCTTCAAAAATTTAAATGCAACATCAATTGCCATCTTCTGTCTTCTTCAATCCTTTTCAGCTGTTGTTGTTTCCTATCCTCCTCTTTTCTCTCACTTCCACTCCTTGTAACCTCCTGTGTACTAGTAGCATTCCCACCTTGCTTCTGGTGAAATCATTTAAAAATAATAAACGTGTTCATTAGCCAATAAAACAATGATCTAACCTCTAGCATCATGCTATAGAGTGCCATAAGTTAAAACTTTTGCTTACCTTTGGTATTTGTGGAAGAAATGTTGAACATAGTACACCAAGGACATTGTTTAATCCATTCTGTTGCCGTTCCTGCAGTATGAAGGCAATGTATTATTCCGGAATTATAATGCCTGCTCACATGATGCCCATACAATACAACATGCTCTGCATGATGTTCGGCAACTTCTCAGGCTGTCATGTCCCCCATTTGACATGCATAGTGCATGATAGTACAACACTTGACTTGTTCACTTAGTCCGCTAACAACTTTTGTTTTGCGTCAATAGATGCAAGATGCTTAGAATGTGGCTATACAGGATGGTTTTCAGCATTTGTACAATTGCAGACATGTGAATATTATCAACCATTATTGATTTTTGGTTAGTATTGATTGTTTAGAGTTTTTTTTCTTTTTCATCACAACTGCTTTACCGTGTCCATCAATTAATTGTAGATTGGAAAGAACGAACCAGCTTCAGGCAAGACTCGAACTAGTATCCATTTTACTTCAGGAAGCCCGTATATGTGCTGTAGAATCTCTATCATTGAAACTACGAGAACTTTATGGCTGACAGGAAATAAAATCTAACATAACAAAAACTAATAATGAGTAATTGTTGGAAAGATTCAGTTTCTGCTGCCATAACACCATCATCTGCTTCTGACAAAATAAAGTAGGAGACATTATTTTTGGAGGAATGCTTGTATAATAACAATCCTACTACAATGGCCTGTACATGTAAACGTTGCTACTTATCTCTTTCAATTTCAGTATCTAGGCGATATAAAACAATGATGGATCATCAACAACTGAAGGAACTTGAACTTGACTTGGAGCAAGAACTTAAAGAACGCCAGGCAGCCAGAACTGCTCCTTTAAACAAACCACGCAGGAAACGATGGAATTTAAAATCTCTAGATCTCAAATTGGCAGGCATGAGTGATAGTGGTAAGTAGGTCTTGTGTGTGTGTCTAAGTAAGATGAAATATGTGAAAACCAGTTGAATGTTTAAGGTTTTTATTCAGTTGCCAGAAAATCATCATTGGAATAAGTGAAAAAATTTGATTGCCATGGTAATGATTTTTCCTTAATTTTTTCCTCTTGTTCAGATAATGTTCTTATTGACAATAGAATAAAAAAAAATAATCATGCAACTGGTTTTCACATATTCTATCTTACCTTGTTTGGATATTTCATATCGCTCATTTTATCATATATATCAGTAATGACTGGAGGTCATCAATCTTTGTTGGGCTCATTACAGTCTTTAATAAAATATACTATTGGTATAACTTGGATGCTAAAATGATTCTTTTACTCTGCCTAAAATATATCATTTTTTAAAATTAAAATTTTTAAAAAACACATTTTAGTATTTTAATATTAATTGTAATAATTCTAGAAAAATAAACATTTTTTAAAAAAATTTTTCCAGACATGTAAGAAAAAAGGGTGAACACAAAGCTAGATATCTTTATTTTTTTAAAAAAAATAACATGTGTATATATCTTGAGTGTGTGTTTGTATACATATGTCTGTGGATTAGTGTTTATGTCTCTCTTTGTTTCTGAATTTTATTGTACATTTATGATCACTACTGCTGACTGATATCATATTTCCTCAACACTAACCCAGTCACACTCCTCACCCCAACCCTCTAGTTGATGATTTTCGCTGAATTTAAGGTTGAGCTAAATTTAATTTGCCCTTTCTCAAAAGATACAGTCAGCTAAAAACCTTATACTGCATGGAATAAATTATTTAAAATGGACATTTTAAATAATTTATAATAAGTTGAAATAAAAATGTGATCTTTGAAAAACAGGACATAAAAGTCATTAGAGAGTTTTAAAAAATTATTTATCTAATTAAAGCAAGAAATACCTTGCCTATTCATATGTCTCCAGCTTCGATCAAGCTCAGACCTACTCAGCCCGACTAGCTACATTCTTTTTTTCACTTATTTTCTTTCTTTGTTTTTTTTTTCTTTCTTCTTTCTTATGAACAGTATCAACAAAATGTATTTCAGTCAATATTTAAGAGTTAAAACAATTAATTTTGGATCTAGCTGAAGTCAAGAATGGAAACAATACACTATGAAAACTTTTTGTTGCTTTGAGATAGATATACTTGAATGTTGATTCACTCGAGCTAAACCTGACCAGCCTGACCTCCAGAGTTGCCTCTGATATATATTGGCAGTGATAATTCTTTCAAGCATGTTTGATTAAATAATATATATTTCTAAAAAATTAATGGATTTTATTTTTAATCTGACATTTTTATTACTTCAGAAGTTATTTTTAATGGAGATCCATATTTAAGTAGATGCTCCAATTATTTTAAACTGTACTTAATTTGTCTAAATACAAATATCTGCATACTCAAGAAAACTTATAAAAAGAAAATGTGCCCTCCAGCAGGATTCCAATCTGTGTCCCTCTTTGCAGGAGAAACCACCATGTGGTCTGGTCTGCTTTTACTACTTGACTACAAAGAGCATCACAATAAAGCAAGGTTCTATTTTTTTAATTTTCAAAAGGTTCTGTTTGCTTTTAAAGGTAAAATATTACCTTCCTTTATTGTTGTGCAGGCTGGTACACAGGCTGGTAGGTGAAATAAATACTGTTTAAAATAAACAAAGCATCTACTCAATAAATTATATATATAATATAAATAAAAGTTCAAAAGATATGTCCTCCAATTTCACCTTTCACAGATATACTGTTTGTCAAGGTAAGATAACTTTTTTATGTGCCATGTCCTTTCAGGAAGTAGGCGGTCATGGCTCTCCACCTCCCTCTATCTCTTGCAACTCGCAACAAGTTCCTCCCCTTTGCTTCCTCCCCCAGACCACATTCTGTCATCCACTTGCTTAATCCTGCCAGGCATGTAACGTGTTGTTTTCCCTTGTTTCTCTTTCCCTCTATTTGACCCATGAGTATCACATTCTCCAGCCCCCTTTCCTCATGATGTGTCCCAGAAACTTCAGCTGTCTCTTCCTGATGTTATGTATAAGCCTCCTCCTCATTTGCATCTTCTCTAAGACCTCATCGTTTCTCACACGTTTGGTCCATAATATCCTTAGCATCCTTCTGTAGAACCATATCTCTGTCGCATTGAGTCTCTTCATCTTTGAGGAAATTGTCCAACATTCGCTGCCGTAAAGAAGGACAAATATCGCATAACAGCTAAGTATTCTTTTCTTTATTACCAAAGAAATCCTTTTGTTTTGCAATACTCTGCCCAGCTTTTGGAATGTGTCCTTGGCCATCCTAGTACGTCTACAGATCTCAGTGTCACACTTATTGTCCTCTGTCAGAACGCTTCCCAGATATTTAAACTTCCACGTCTGCTTGATTCTAGTGTTCCTGATGTGCAAATTGCATTTTGGGCTCATCCTTTTACTGATGACCATGCATTGTCTTGTATTTTATGCTTAGTCCCTTCTTCTCACTCTCCGTCACTACCTTCTATAAGAGATTTTATTGAATTTATTAACAGATATATATGCTACATCACTGATTTCAAAATAATTTCAAACCTGCTCTCAACTAAAAATACACAAGATCTTTTAGTTCAGAAGTTTATGACAGTGTTTAAATGTTAACAAATGTTATAATGGGATAAAATTTAATATGAAATTTTTTGATTTCATGTTTTTATATATATTTTTTAGTTTCATTTTTATAAAAGTCATTTGCACAAAACAACTTAGGAAAATAAATTTGGCAAATGTTATCAACAATCATATAGTTTAAAATACTAAACATGTTTAAATTATTGTAATATTTATATTTACTGATTATTTTCTCAGGCAAATTTAGTTTATTTCTTATTTTTAATTTTATTTTTTTTCATCATTGACTCCAAACAAATTTCAAAATATTTGTCCCTATTAATTCTTTCAGCCCTACTGCTACTCTTTATTGTTCTTTATCACTGCTGTAATCTTCAGCCTGATTTTTGTTTGAATTTTCTGAAATGTTACAATAATTCTTTTGATCTATTTTTGTCTCTGTTGTATTCATTTTCAGTCAAAATTGATTAAAGTGGAATAATAAATTCAGTTTTCAAAAGACACTTTTTGTCTATCCTCTTTCTGTTTTTCTTCTTTTTTTTTTTTTTTTAAATGAATTATTTTTAAATTTTTACCAATGATTTTCAGAATTGATTTTGAAGATATGATTTTCTTAAAAATATCTTTTCAGTTACTTCTGTGGAAAGTTACGATGATGATTTTGAATCAGATCATAGCAGCAACGAACAATCTCTTGATAATGATTGGACTGTAAGTAAATGGTTTTCTATCATGCATGCAAAAATTTTTGTAAATTCTAAAACAAAAGAGTAATATGTCAATATTAAAAAAGTTTAAAATTCTGACTTTACTACAAATATTTGAAATTGAGATCCAACTAACTAATTGATCACTGTTGAATGTTATTCTCTGTTTTATTAAACAGAGAATAACATTCAACAGTAAATTTAACCACTTGGGAATGGCTGAGATATCTTCAATGAAATTTCTTTTCTGGATTGGCTGATAAAATATCACAAAAGAAATTTCTTTGCTTTCATTAATTGAGCTGGCAGGTAGTAAAATTGCTAATTCAGACAGACCAGTATTTTTTTTTTTTTTTTTTTAAAATTTTAACACCATCACATAGTTGAACTGAAGCTTTCAGAAAAGGATAAACAAAAAAGAATTTCTGATAATAACAATGACTGCCTTATCATGGGCCACAATTAGCTATCAATTTACATAACTGGGCAAAGAATCGCTTGTAAAGTTTAACACATACAAAATAAAACTGCTTTCACTTAATCGCCATAGAGAACTTTTTTCTGCCTGCCATCAGCATAGCTGATGCTAATATTTGGGAGTGCAATTCTTTGCACCTTTTTGGGCTCACATTTTCCACTGACATGAAGTGGAATGATTATATTGAATCAACAGCTCAGTCTACTGCTAGGAAATTTGGTTCACTGTGTCATGCCAGACAATTTTTCTCAACAGAATCCATCTTGCACATTTATAAATATACCATTCGGCCATGCATTGAATACTACTGCCATATCTGGTCTGGTGCTCCTAGGTTTTGTGATGCCAATGTACTCTCGTTGCCACTTTTGTGATGCCAACGAATACTCGTTGTCACTTTCATGATGCTTGTTGTAGTAGAGACTTTGTAATCGTAGATACAACTATGGTAATGCTGTTGAACAATGCTGGTGTCAGACACCTTCGAATAAGTCTTGCACTAATAGTACTTGCTCACTAATACTCGCTCGGCAAGTAACCCGTATAGTGATCTGAATAGAGAAATAGTGGTCTTTATAGTAATAGAGGATAGAGTAGAAATGATGATCTGAATAGTAATAGAGGATAGAGTAGAAATAGTGTTCGTTAGTCAACAGCTATTTCCTACATATATGCTTTTCCTCTATAGTCACATGGTCTGCTTAATTCAATAATGGGATTGCCTGTGTTTGCTCACTGACAATCTATGTTCAGACTCAAGTGTCGACAGTGACACTTTATTCCTATATAACCCTATGATATATCTTGAGATTCTTGACAAAATTCTAAGAAGGGTCTGTAATGTAATCAATCCCAACCTGGCATCCTGACTTCGGTCACTTTCTTATCAATGTAAGGTGGATTCCCTCTGTCTTTTCTACAAATATTTTCATGGCAATTGTTCCAATGAGCTTTCTTCCTTGGTGCCACAACTGCATGAATTTAAACATACTACTAGATTAGAAACTTGGTCTCACTCTTTTACTATTGAATTTGCTAGATGCAACCTTCTGTTCTGTTCTAATAGTTTCTTTTCTTGTACTTCTCACCTGTCAAACTACCTTCTGTTTTATTGCATCCCTCTATATACAATGTTCAATGATAAAAACATCAATCTCCATCTTCTGTCTTCCTGAATCCTGTTCTCTTATTGTCTTTTCTCCTCACTTCAGTTTTCTCATTCTCTTTCACTCTCTGTAACCCCTTGCATCCTAATTACATTAGCACCTTGCTTGGGGCTGAAATGATTTAAAAAACCAAACTTCACATCGCAACCTATCAAATTCATCACAAGCTCCAATTTTCTATCAGAGTCTTATTTTGTCAGTGAATCAGTTTATTGATTCTAGACAATTTGTAGAGGATGATGAAAGCAGTCAAAACTGATGTAGCTGTTAAAATATTTTAACAGTACAGTACTTCTTTCATTATCTGTGCCTTGATTTTTCGATCATCCGTGAAACGAAGAGAAAAATTGAAATCCGGATATTTTTCAATTATCCAAATGAAACTCATTTTAATATTTCCTCTCAGGCAAGCATTTTGTGAATTTATAAAACCAATGCTTGATAAAAACACTGATAAAATCAGTTCAATTCTTGTTAATTTTCTTGTTGTTTTCATACAATGAACATACATTTGTATTATCAGAGCTTGGTCATGCCAGAGATTATGGATTACGCAGCTGTCAGAAATAATTGACTGGTTCAATGCAATCAGCCTTGTGTATGAACACCTAAATAATCAGGACCTTGTTGAACTTATAACTGTACTGGAAAATATTGAAGAAGATGACGAGGATGATAATAATATTGAAGTTCAACAGCTCTGATACCCAATTTCAAACACTGAAGCAATGCATCTTGAGTATGACGATATTGCTGGCATATATGGTCCATTGCTCCTGCTATATATTTAGAGATCCTTGATAAAATCCAAAGAAGAATCAGTAATATTATTGGTCCTTACATGGCATCTCAGCTTCACTCTCCCACTGCTGTGATGTAGCTTCCCTGTGCCTTTTCTATAAATATTTTTATTGTAATTGTTCATATGAACTCTTTGCTATGGCACCTAGAGTTTATGAATTTAAGTGCAGTACTAGATTGGCAGAAAGGTTTCATTAATTCAGAGTTGAACTGACTAGATGTAGCCATAAGTTCTATGCTAACAATTTCTTTTCTCACACTTCTTGCTTGTGGAATTCTCTTCTGGCTCCATGCTTTCCAGCCAATTTTGATCTTCAAAAATTTAAATGCAATATCAATCATTATCTGCTATCTTCCTGATTACTCTTCTATTGTTCTTGCACCTTAATAATGTTTCTGTTTTCTAAACTCCTTGTGTCTTAGTGGCTTTACTGTTATGCATGGGATAAATTTGATTAAAGACAAAAAACTATTCTTTGAAGTTGAAAATGTTGAGGTTATAGCATGGCCTGCCCAAAATCTAGGATTCATCCCAACTGAGAATGTTTGGAAGATCATTTGAAATAATCTTAGGGCAAGTAAACTGATGACAGTAACTGATTTGTAACAGAAACTGCAGGATTTGATTGATTGATTTGTTTTTTATGGCTTATCAACCCTTTTCTGGTTATTTAAAGCTAGAAAATATTTTTAGAGTGTAAGAATTTTTTTTTTTTTAATAATAATGATTTAGTGATACAGGACTTACTAATTAACCCATAGCCAGGAGAGAAGTGGTAGATTCATACCTTTTCCAAGAGTATTTGCGCATATGTTACTAGAAAGACTGTCCAATTAACAATTCTGAGCCAGTATCTATTATATCACTCGTACATCCAAACTTAGAGTACCTGGTATTCCCATGAGATCACCCATGTAGGTACTGATCTGGCTTAACATTGCTTAACTTTGGTGATCGTATGGGAGAAACTGCAGGAGGAATGGGACAAAATCACACCTGAACAATGTGAAGTTCTGTGGTCATGGATTTGCAGAAGTAATTATTAGCTATATCTTCTATAAGTATTATTAATATTCTGTAAACAATATTGTCATTATTGTTGTTAAATTATTGTTGTTAAATTGCAATTTTGTTCTCTTATTCAGGATGCTACATTTTTTTTTTTTTTTTTTTTTTTTTTTTTTTTGTAATAAACATTTTTTTGTTTTTTAACTTGCTTTTATCTTTGGTAAATTTGTATTAAAAAAAATCAAAGTAGAGAACAAGTTTTTAAGAATATTTGCTGCAGTTTTTATCAAGTCTATATAATTGGAAACTATTGATTTTTTTTTTTTTTTTTTTTAAACTTTCATTCTCTGATATTGGATGTTGCTACATATACTATATGTAAAATAATGCATGCAAAGAGACCTGTTTACTAAGTTTAGTCAAAGCTACAAATGCTTAATATCCAGTGAAGATTGGAATCACTACACATGCAAATCTTATCCTGAGTATGATGATAAAATACATACGGCAGCAAGGTCTCTGATCAAGAAGTTTTGAGGAGTGTGGAACCACCTCTTAATTGCTGTTGTTCCCAGGTCCTCCCTGACCAGGGGTAGTAGCATCTGTTAGGGTCCCAACTATGGGTAAATAGTTAACTCCGAAACTGGAGTAAAAACACTATGAAAGTGTAAAAACAGGTTTTAATACCAGAAATACTTTATAAAAAATTATTATCAGCAATAAATTTTTGAAGAAAAAAAACCATTACCAGCAATAAATTTTTGAGGAAAAAATATTACCAGCAGTAGTTTTTTGAAAAAAAAAATTATTACCAGAAATAGATTTTTGACAAAATAAAATATTACCAGCAATGAAAATTTTGTCGGCATGAAATAACCCATTGGGGTTGATATGTTGTAAACCAAACCAAACCAAATCTTAATTGCTGTTGTTCCCATGTCTGCCCTGATTGGGATGGTAGCAGCTGTTAGTGTCCCAGCTATTGGCAAATGGTTAACCCTCAAAATGGGGTCAACACTCTAGGAAAGTATAAAAATAGATTTTTATAGTAAAAATACCAGCAATACATTTTTGAAAAAAAAAATTACAACAATACATTTGGCTCTCGACAAAAAAACCCTCTTTACAAAAATACGTCAATAAAACCTGATCTACAAACTGATTTATTACAAAAAAATACCTATTCTGTTCATAAGAATCTACCCTAAAAATTTTGTTGGCATCAAATAACTGATTGAGGTTGATATGCTGTAAAAATAAGCCAACCTTTTCCATAACTGCCATTTTGTCAAGAGGAATTAACTCAATAGTCCTTAGATAGAAAATTTCATATGGCTGTCATGCATGGTGCCAAACTTGTTCGGAAATACCTGTCAGCAGTATACAATGTTCCTCAGATCAGTGATCAAAAATGACCTCGAAGTGAATGAAGCTTGTAGGTCAGAACAAGGATCATTCCCCTTTGAATGTCATAGACTGGTCCCACAGAATCACAAAGAACTGTATCAAATAACAGAAACCACATCACTTGAAACAACTAAAATGTGGAAACACTTCTTAATTACTGTTGTTCCCAGGTCCACCTTGACCTAGCGTGGTAGCACCTGTTAGGGTCCTAGCTATGGGCAATTAGTTAAGCCCCGAGCTGGGGTCAAACAATACAAAAGTACAAAAATAGGTTTTTAGAGTAAAAATAGCAGCAATACATTTTTGGAAAAAAAAAAAAAAATTACTAGCAACACATTTGGCTCTTGACAAAAACCTCTTTACAAAAATACATCAATGAAACCTGATTTACAAACTGATTTCTTACAAAGAATATATATCTTCTATTCATATAAACCTATCCTAAAAATCTTGTCAGCAACCTATTGGGGTTGATATACCATAAAACAAACCAACAACTAAATATGAAAATCTATGAGGGTAGTTTCTAGACTTTGCTTGAAAGAAAGACACTGTGTGTGTGTGTGTGTGTGTGTGTGTGTGTGTGTGTGTGTGTGTGTGTGTATATATATATATATATATTTAATGAAAAAACAGACCACTTTAAGGTATCTTAAAGTGGTCTGTTTTTTCATTAAATATTAGCTCTGTATTCACATTGAGCTCTCAGGATTTCATCCTCCTTGGAATTACTCATTCGGTTTACCAAGTTCTTCGTAACTTAACTATATATATATATATATATATATATATATGCACTTATATCATTTATATAATGTTAAAGACAATTAAAATGTTTGCAATATAATAGAAATGATCTGGTGCTGTTTTAGTAGAAGGTAATTTATAAGAAAAAATAGTGAAAAAAAATTCTTCTAAAACAAAAAAAGAATCAGTATGAGTCACTTTGTTTCATATTATTCTGAAAATGAACATTGAAATAGCAGTGCCTACAAAATTTTCTTGTTTGAAAATCAAATATTGATTTGCCTATGGGAATGGATTTCTGCTATTACTTTTATCATGTATGTATGGACATGTTTCTTTATATATATATATATATATATATATATATATATATATATAAAATGTGTGTGTGCACACATTTATGTTCTCATCCAAATACATTGAAGTACATAAATGTTTAAAACAGAAAAGAATTAAATTTGGTTACCAATGGCTGATCTGTTTTGAATTTGGCAAACCATATTCAGTGTCATATGTAGTCTCCACCATCCCCACCATGTCTAAAAAAACATTTTCCAACTCAGTTTAGGAATCTGGAATGCTAATGTTTACCCAGATACCATAATCTCTCAAAGAATCATTTCCTTATGACTGGTTTTGATGAAAGCAGAAAACTAATTCCTTTTCAATATTGCCAATTTTCAAGGCTGATTCTAAGATTTCCAAAATGCATAGAATGCAGACTTTTAAAAATGTTTTTGCAAATTCTCCTAAAAAAACGCAAGGTTGAAATTGGTATTTGTATTGCTGATTACATTTAAAAATTCAACTGTTGAAAAACAACATTAAAAATACTTTTTTTTTTAATTTTTTTTTTTTTACTTGCCTTGTACAAAGCCCAAGAGCCACTCGAGATAGAAAGTTAGAGTAAGAGGTACAGTTTATGCAGATATGTGAGGAAGATAATGGTTAACCTTAGTCTTGAACAGGTTAAGATTGTAGTGATTGGGGGAACATCTTCTTGGGAGTTGGTTCTACAAATCAACGGTTTGTGGGAAGAAGCTGCTCCAGTGGAACTTAATTTTGCCAATGGAATACAAAAGAAATGAGGGTGGTTTGCTACAATGTGTGTGGTATGGTGAGTCTTAGCCATGAAGATTAGAACTGTTTAAACTAAGCACTGTTGTTTGTTTGAACTCTTTCCATGGAAATAATGATAGTGCAGTGAGAGGCTTATGGCAGCAGTACTCCATTTTCAACCTGATTTTGTCTCTTGTAAAGGTAGTGGATAAGTGTGAGGAGTCAGGTACTTACTGGAGCAGTACAGGGAACCAACCATTTTTCCAGCATCTTTAGTGATGGATCATATGTATGATTTCCACTTGAAATCTGGGTTAAGTTTAAATCTCAATAAGTGCTCAAGAAAGAAATTCTCACATGGTGATATGTGCCGGAAAAGGGATATATTTGAACGAAGTAGCTAAGTGGTTTTGGCTACTATAAGTAGAATATGGTAGCAGTTATCGACTGGTACATGTCGTAGTCGCAGGTAAGAAGTCCATTGGGCGTCGTTATAGACTTAGCTCTCAGACTAAGGCTCTTGACTTTTCTGACTCTCCTACGCATCCGTCAATATTTATGACGGACACCAGCCAATCACAATCCAGTGAGGGGGAACACAGGTGTATGCATATTCCATTATATCACATGGTATATTCAAAAATTATCCTATATCCAATTTCATTGGACATTTGCCATGGAAAAGTGGTTTGGAAGCTCATCTCTAGTTTAATTTGCTAGTGTTGTAATTTTGATCTTCAAAGGCCCCCTACAATTGTGGCCTTGTGCAACAGACTAAGTTATATTTAGTAAATAACCTTAAATCATTTTTTTGTTTTGTGGCAACTAAGTTCAAGGGTCCTAAAGTGAGTTATATACAACTTAAGCAATGGATGCTTTTCTTTTTAAACAACTGATAGTACATAGAAATTTAGAAAAAAAATATATAATGTAGATAGTGCAGTGTTTATTGGTATTGAAAGGAAAACAATTCTCATATTTTTGAATAAGTTATTCTTTTTCTGTTAGAATATAGTGCTGAGCTTCACCAACCAGGCAGCAAGAATGCAACATAAATTCTTTATTTTATTAGTCCTCTACTTGGACCACATTTCCAAAATTCTTGGTTTTTATTGTTTTTAAGGATAGTTTTATTTATTATTTTTTGTATAAGTTTGTGTAGCTGGAGCTTTTTTGAATAAGGACATTTTTTTCTTTTAACTGCCATTTTTCATATCTGAATTATAGGATTAAAATAGACACTTTGGAATATTGTTTTTCCTTTGAATAAAATTGAGTGTCTTTATTTATATATTTGTAAAACCTTTAGAAATATATAAAACTGGTATTATGCATTCTTTATATACTTTGTGTTAAGCATATTAGCAAGGTGCTTTTCATTATATAACTTTTTTATTAAATACATGCCAACCAATTATTTAATTTTTGTGGCCTTTTTTAAATAATATCACTTTTCTTAAATAGCTTGATGTCTTCTGCTTTTTTATCCTTTTTGGAGCATTACAACTGAATATTACCTTTTTTAATTTTTATTTTTTTTTTCTCATTTTTAAGACTACCCTTCCCCTTTTCTGGGTCCATTCTGCACCCAGAAAAGGGTAACTGTAGAAATTAACAAAATTGTAATAAAAACAAAGTTAGAAATATTTAAACTGTTATCTTCATCTTTGTTGTCATATTCACAATGTTTCGGCTGTTGCATGCTCCGGCTTTCTTCAGGTGATTGGAATTTTGAACCAAACCCTTTAGTTCATCCATCAGGGTAGATTGTTCTAGTTGCTTGTACCATGCCTCTTTCGGATATCTTAATTTTCAGTTATTTTCCCTTTAGTAACTCAACTCTCCAAGTTTTTGTTCACCTCTGCTGTGACCAGGTATTGAACTTACAACTCTTTGGATCAAGTTACTGGATTACTTCAACCAATGCTTTTATCCACAGGGCCATGTGTCCTTCATCTAAAGAAGTCTGGAGTGTACAATGACTGAAACGTTGTGAATATGACAACAAAGATGAAGACAAGAGTCCAAACAATGTAAATAGTGTAAATAGTTACAATACCTCCTCTGAAAAGTATAGACAGATAAAATTAGAAAGGTACAAAGATCAATGGAAAGATCAATACTAGAGAGAATTCTAAGGGCTAAAGAGTTCAGCATGGATTACAGAACAGACCAAGATATCATTGATGTGATTAAATGTCAAATATAGAGGTGGGTAGAACACATTAAAGGATAACAGATGGAGCAAAAGGTTGGTTAAATGGTGCCCAATAAATTGGACACCTAGTAGAAAGGAACCAGATAAAAGATGGAGAAATAGAGAAATTTTCTGGGTAGATATACCAAAGAATAACCCAGTTGTAGTTGCCCAACAGTGGACTTAGATACTGTTGTTTATTTAATATAATTTCAATTTGTATATGTAACCCTTGCTTCTTGCTTGGTAAAGCTCAACCCTATGGTACCAGAAAACATGTTTGCATGTATAAACATTAATAAACATAGACTAATTTTTAGTTTTAAATTTTGTAGTAGTGTTGTCTTATTACATTTTTTTTTTTTTTACTACAATCTTTATTCTTATTGTTTTGATCTTTGTTTTAGTCAGTGATAGGTTTTGTTATCATTCATAGATTCAAGTAACAAATTTCAAGTGAAATCAGTGGGTTAATAGATTCTGTTCAACGTTCATCAGTGTTCACTTTAAAAAATAGAGGATAAGGAAATCTGGAGAACTCATCAGCAGAATCACTTGAAAAAATGATCATATTCATTTGAATAATTGATAAAATAATCCAATACTTAATCTGAAATCTTTATATGTAATTAAGGAGGCTGGAGAATACACCAGCTGAAATCTAGTAATCAACATGATTATGATACGAGTCGGAATTCTTCCATCTATCATCCATAGGTCTAAGTAATGTTCTTTCACCTTACTGACTCTTCATGTTTGCTATGGTAACTAGACTTTTTTTTAATTTAAGAACAGTACTAGACTGGCATTGAGATCTTATCAATTTACAGCTGCAAATTCTATGCTATTTCTTTTCTTACACTCCTCGTATGTGGAACTTCCTTCTGGCTCCATGCTTTCCAGCCAACTTTAATCTGCAAAAATTTAAATGCAATGTCAATCACTATCTACTGTCCTGATTACTATTTTCTCTTTCCGCTCATTATTAATGTTTCTGCTCTCAATTCTTCTATACCCAGTAACCCCCTTGTGTCTTAGTGGCTTTACTATCTTGCATAGTGTGAAACTGATTAAAAAAAAAAAATATGTTCTGCCATTCATTTACACAAGTTCATTAGGTAGGTTACTTGCTGTTTCTCTCTGCCCCTTTTGCACCGAATATATCCCATGAGTGTCAAATTCTCCAAGCCATCTTTCCACACTATATGTCACAGGAGGAAGGTTAGAGAACCATCCAGTGGCGGAAACAATGATGGTGAAAATATTTGAATGATTCTTATGAAATATTTATGGGTTTGGTTTTGAAAGTCAGCAAAATAACAATATCAACAAGAGAAAACCAAATTGCAAAGCACTGAGCAAGTTTAAAAGAAACTGGAAGCTGGATAGATGTTATATATTCACCCATATTTGTCTATCTGTTTGTACAATATATCGTTCTCCACGTATTTCCATGACCTTTTGTGAAAGGTGAATGATGGGCCAAGAAAAATTTGATTAAATCTAGAAGCAGATCTAGGAATTTTTAAGGTTAAAAAAAATGTCTTTGTATTTATCCTGAAATTATTACTCCTACCAAAGGAATTGATCAGAGTTTCTTTCTGTTTTTGTCATACCTGTAATTAGTTAAAATAAACTTTTGTCACAGTATAGTCTGAGAACTGAACTGTGATTATTTTTGACGATATGTTTCCAATAAATAGCTGCAACAAACATTTGTCATGGCATAGTCTGAGATCTGTATCATGATTGTTCTGTTTTTACTGACAATGATGATGTTGGCTGGGAGGTATGTGCTTTCTGAGTGCTTTCTCACTTCAGATTCAGAATTGAGTGAAATTGAGTTTAAATCTAATTGTTCAAAAACGGGGAAATAAGATGATAGATTGACTCTGTTAAAACATTGTATTTTGCTTGGATGCTCTTGTATTGTGAGTGATACAGGTTGTGAACAATCCTTGACAGAAAGTGTTAATATATTTTTCTCTTATTTCAGGAGGAAACCAGTCTTCATGAAGACAATGAGATACTTGCCCCACAACCTCCATTGAACAGTAAACCCAAGAATAATTACAGCAGGCCTCATTACAGCCCACGTGGACAAAAACTGACCTTAAACATTACTGATATTAAGGTAAATTATTTTTTCATTTTTTTCTTCCTCTCAATGAACACACTTCTAGTTTATTGACTCCTTTAAAATGTCCCTCTAGTTAAGAATGAATCTTAAAGATTTTCATTTACTATATTCTGAAAATTTATTTCATAATCATATACTAATACAGGGTGAGGTTGTATTGTATATCAATAATATTTTGTCAGTTTTGTTTATCTTTGAAATGAACTGTTATAATGAGGTGTAAAATTATCTTTAAGATACAGAGTTTCATTTAAAATAATAGAATTCTGTAAAACGTTGAATAGAATTTCTCAAAAAGTCAAGAAGTTTGCTTCACTCACTCTCAGCTACTCAAGGTCAGGCTACTTATTGCAGGGGTTTTAAAGCAGTTAACTTGCTTAGTTTTACATTTGGCCAGGAGTTAAACTGATTTGCATGTTCACTGATCTCATTCAGTGGAAAGGTATTTATTTTTTAATTTTTTACAAAAACAGCAAATAACACTAGCAGCTATTTACACTATTTACATTGTTCTGACCGTTGTCCTTATCTTTAATGTTTTATTCACAATGTTTCAGCTATTGTATGTTCTGGCCTTCTTCAGGTGATATATGTTGGAATTTTGAACCAAGCCCTTTATTTTGTTCATATGACCCAGTTGATGAAAGTCCAAACAATGTAAATAGTGTAAACACTATTGAATATTACCATTTTTTTAGTTTTTCTTTAATTTTTTTCTGATTTTTAAGATTACCATTTCCCTGTTCAGATAATTCAGTATTTCTTGAATGGTTGCAGAATATGGAAATTAACAAAATTGTATAAAAATGGTTAGAAATGTACAAAAATCAATGGAAATATCAATACTAGAGAGAATTCCAAGAAATAGAAAGAGTTCAACATGGATTACAGAACAGACCAAGATATCATTGATGTGATTAAATATCAAAATAGAGTTGGGTAAGGACACATTAGAGGATGACAGATGGAGCAAAAGGCCAGTTAATGATGACTGTTGATTTCATCTTATTGTCATATTCATAACGTTTTGGTCATTGTATGCTCCAGCCTTCTTCAGATGATATATGTTGAAATTTTGGGTAAATTTGCACATTAAATCCTGGAAACCAAGTGTAATGAAAATTTCCATTCTGGTGTAAATTTGGATGCTTATTTCGAAAATAACAAAAGTTTGTGGAAGAAAACCGTTTAGGAATTATTGACAATATATGTTTGTCATTTGCATTACAGCTACAGCTCAGCTGCCATTACTGGCTTTGTTTACATATGTTTGCCTTGAGTAGTAATGTGCAGAAGCTTCACTTGTCTTGGCTACTGTACAATACACAAACTTTAAATTAAATTTTGTAAATTGCGCAGTAATCAAGACGAGTAATATAAGATGATCAGTAAAAAGGCCATTAACTAAGTAAGCTTCCACGTATTACTGCTTGAAGCAAACATATGTAAACAACTCCAGTAATAATGACCAGGCTAGATGTGAATAAAGCTGAACTTATATTGTCTATAACAATTTTCTTCCGCAAACTTTTATTGTTATTTTTGAATTAATCGGACAATTTCACACCAGAATAGAAATTTTCATTACGGTTGTTTTCCGGAGCTTAATGTGCAAATTTACCAAATTTACAAATTTACCTTTTATTTAATCCACATGGTCCAGTTACCAAAAGCGTTGGTTGAAGGAATCCAGTGACTTGACCCAAAGAGTTGTGAGTTCAATACCTGGCTACAGAAGAGGTGAACAAAAACTTGGAGAGTTGAGTTACTAAAGGGAAATAACTGAAACTGAGATATCCAGAAAAGGCATGGCATGTGGAACTAGAACAATCTTCCCTGGTGGACAAAATAAAGGGTTCAGTTTGAAATTTCAAGAAGAAGGATGGAGTGTACAAGACATTGTGCATATGACAATAAAGATGAGGTCAACAGTCAGAACAATGTAAATAGTATAAATAGTTACAATTCATCTCAGAAATATAGACAAAACACTAACAGCTTTCGCCATTGAAGTATATCTTCATTTTCTTATGTACAAGTTCACTTTTCAAATATTGAAACTGATGTTTTTCTTATAAAAGATAGTAGATAATCTTAGGCATTGAATAAATGTTCCAGAAACTTTTTATTCACTACAATAGCATTATAAACGCAATGTTAAAAATTTGGCAAGGACAAAATTATCCACGCATCAGAAATTTATTTTATTTATAATACCTAATATATATTTATTTTATTCATATTACCTGATATGCTTAAATCATGTTATGAAGCAGTAGTGATCAAATTGGTGCAACAGTTTAGATATCTGGGAAGTGTTTTAACAGAGGATGGAAAGTGCAACATTGGAATTCAAAGGAGCACTGTAATATCGAAAAATACCTTCCAAAAGCTAAGCAAAGTATTAAGAAACCAGAAAATATCATTAAAAGCAAAGAGTACTGAAGTGTTATGTAAAATCAGTTTTCCTATATGGCAGCGAATGCTGGACAGCCTCCTCACAAATAAAGAGACTTGAAGCAACAGAAATGCAGTTCTACAAGAAGATACTGAGAATACCATGGACCAAACATGTGAGCAATAATGAAGTTCTAGAGACAATGGCAATAAGAACACTTAACATCAGCAAGAGACAGTTGTAATTTCTAGGGTATATAATGAAGAAAGAGGGATTGGAAAATTTGATACTCACAGGGAAGATTGAAGGTAAGAGAAACTGAGGAAAACAATGCTTAACTTACCTGATGAGCTTCAGTGAGTGGATGATGGAGCGGGTTCTGGGAGAGATGGAAAAAAGACAAAATTTATTAAAAGCTACAAAGGTCAGAAAATTGTGGAGAGCCATGATCACTAACATCCTGAAGGGACATGGCACATAGAAGTGTATCAAGTTGCATCTATGAGATGTACATTTTTAAAAGAAATTATGGTTTCCCTAATGAGCAGGCACATCGGTTACTGTAAACTGGGAATTAACAACATGGCTGTATGGAAAGTTTTGTAGATTTAAAACAATGAATTGTAAACAGTTGCAATTCAGGAATGAGTTTTAGATTAGCAACTAAGCAGTTTTCAGTACCCAAGTTGACTGCAGAGTATATCATGGAAAATTATTGTGAGATAAAAATCATTGCAATTCTTTCTTGAAAGAGCTGAAAGCCTAAAAGGCTACATCATTGATGATTAACTGACACAAACAGTGGGGAAAATAAGTATTTCATTCCCCGCTGATTTTCTAAGTTTGCCACCTTACAAAAATAGGAACGGTCTATAATTTTCAGAGTCGTGAAAGTGAGAGATAAAATATAAAAAAATTCTAGAAACTCACTTTATATTAAATTTTGAACATTTATTTCTTTTTTTTATTAAAAAAAAATTTTTTCACCCCCTACCAACCAGCAATGATTCAGGCCCCATAGACTGGTTATGTGACCAGGGGGCATATAGACTAGTCCTATTACTCCATTATTACTCCTTATCAAGTACTGATTACCTGCATAAAAGACACTAGTTCACAGAATCCTTCAATGAATCAGAATCTAATCTCTCCACAATGGGCAAGATGAAAAAATTGTCTAAGGACATCCGGGACAAAATTGTATACCTGCACAAGACTGGAATGGACTACAAGATGATTGGCAAGGTGAGAAGGAGTCAACTGTTGGTGTGATAATAAGAAAATGGAAGAAATACCAATTGACTATCAATCTCCCTTGGTCTGGAGCTCCATGCAAGACCTCCCAACGTGGAGTGAACCTGATGATGAGAAATGTAAGAAAACAACCCAGAACTATGCTGTAAGAGCTTATTGATGATCTCAAGGCAGCTGGGACCACAGTCACCAAGATGACCATTAGTAACACACTACGTCATAGTGGACTGAAATTGTGTACTGCTCGTAAGGATCCCCTACTGAAGAAGACGCGTGTACAGGCCTGTCAGAAGTTTGCAAATGAGCATCTAGATGATTTAGAGGAAGGTTGGGAGAAAGTGCTGTGGTCAGGCGAGATTAAAATTGTGCTTTTTGGCATCAACTCGACTTGCTGTGTTTGGAGAAAAAAAAAAAGAAGCTGGCTTGGACCCCAAGAACACCATCCCAACCATTAAGCATGGTGATGGAAACACTACACTTTGGGGCTGTTTCTCTGCTAAGAGGACAGGACGACTACACCGGGTCAAGGGAAAGATTGATGGGATCAAGTACAGGGAAATCTTGCCTCAGCCAGGACACTGAAGATGGGTCATTGATGGGTATTCCAGCATGACAATGATCCAAAGTATATAGCTAAGGCAACAAAGGAGTGGCTCAAGAAGAAGCACATTAAGGTAATGGAGTGGCCTAGTCAGTCTCCGGACCTTAATCCTTTAGAGAATTTGTGGAGGGAGCTGAAGCTTCGAGTTGCCCAATGATAACCTACAAACTTTAAAGATTTGGAGAATATCAGCAAAGAGGAGTGCCCCCCCCCACCACCACCACCGGGATCTTTAAAAACTTGGTAACCAACTACAGGAAATGTCTGGCTGATGTGCTTGCCAAAAAAGAATTTCTTCACCAAATACTGACTTATGTTTTGCTATGGGGTGAAATATTTTTTCAATAAAAAGAAGTAAATGTTCAAAAATTAATATAATGTGATTGTTCTAGAATTTTTTTTTTATATTCTATCTCTCACTTTTAAGATGGACCTACCCTGAAAATTATAGACAATTCCTATTTTTGTAAGGTGGCAAACTCAGAAAATCAGCAGGGAATGAAATACTTATTTTCCCCATTGTATGCATTTGGAATTGCCTATTTTTCCCTGTTATGTTTATAATGCTATTCTGTTGAATAAGGGTTTTCTAAAATCATATTCTAACTTTCATATATAAAAATATATATTTTGATATTTGAAAAATGAACTAAATTTTGAATATGTATTTCTCCACACTATGTTAGAACAATAATTCATGGCAATCAGAGCAATACAAAAGACTATGATTTTTTTAATGTA